CGTGTAGGTTAACAAAGATTTTATACATACATACAACAGGAAAGACTGGTGATTTTAAATGTTAAACTACGGGCAGTGTAGCAGCTACGTAAGAATACACACCTGATGATGGCCATTTAGGGCCGAAACATGTAGTGTGAAGGAAGGGAAGAAGAAAGAACTACAATTAAATTATTGCACTTAAGACGGAGTTTGTCTCATATATATTGTGTGAGTGGAACAGGATGCTTAAATATAATATTCTCTAAGTTGGTTGTTTCACTTCAGTGCCGCTTGTTTTATGGGTTATTCAATGAATCGTATAGCGTCTAATGGTATGATGAATGGGAAAGGATATGGAAGGAAGCGGTCGTGGCATAATGGAGGTGATATCCTGGAATCTGCGTGGCAGGACTAAGCAAATCAGCGAGAATAGTCACTCAGTACAGTAAACTCTCGCTAATCCGGATTAATTGTGGGGAAGAGGTCATCCGGATTAGTGAAGCAAAATTTAACCCTAAAAGAAAGAAAGAAACTTAAAACATAAATAAATGGAAAATTTAATGATATGAGTGGTGCTGATGAAAATAACAAATATCACTGTAGAACCTTTATTTAAAAACTACAAAAAGCAAGTGCATTTATTTATCGATAGAAAACTCAGAAGTTGTCCTTGTTTTTGAACGTAATAATGCAGACGTAAACTGTCTCAAGTTTTGTCTGAACTAATGACTCATCTGCCTTCCTAAATCCCATGTGTCTTCTTAAAGGATGTTACCCAACTGTGAACACCAGTTTTCATTTTTTTCCGGATTAACTGTAACCGGATTAGTGAGGATGTACCTTATGCCCAATATCCCGGTTTAGATTCGAACCGACCACCTCCCAAACACGAATGAGAAGTTTTAACGCTACGCGAACCCACTCAGTTTATATGTGCTAAATTCTTTTGGTGATAACTGTGATGCGCGCGCATCTCTGTCACTGCGCCTGCGTTCGTTTTGAAACAAAGGGATTCCCTGCAGTGTAGTGAGTTGTGATGTGTCGGGTGGAAGTGAGGGAAACTCGCTTGTAAAATTAACGAAACTTTTGTGTGTTTTAGTGACGGTTTCAAAATGAGTGACTGAGACAAGATGAAAAGGGCACCGAGCACGCAACGTAGTACATTAGCAGCGACGGTTCGAACTGCGAGTGACGACGTCGACAGCTCTGAACTGAGGAACAGGATAGCCAGAGTTCTCAGCCAGATCAGGGTACAGAACTTAGATGTAACTGTGCACAAACTAAAATCCATGGCCATTAAGAGTGAAGAGAAACTGAGCACATTAGTAAAAACAATTTTTGAAAAATCTGTAAATGATCCACAAAATACTGAAACATATACGAAGCTTTGTGAGCAATTGTCAGGATTCCAGGTGGTTTCTGGTGAAAGTGAATGTGTTTGTTTCAAAAATCTACTGGAGAAACACTGCAGGCAGGAGTTGCAGACCTGTTTCTCAACCGATGAAAGTGATTCTTCACATCAGTGGCGCCAAAAGATGGATAATATTGGTTTCAGGTCTCCAGAAGCAAGATCAGGAGTAACGCTGACTGGGGTGGCCAAATGGAAGAAAATTGGGTGTGTTATGTTACTGGGTCACCTCTTCAAGGCACAGATGTTGACAGTGAATGTCATGAAAGCTGCGATCACTAAACTGTTTTCCTTAGAAGACGAAGATTCTTGGAACTGTCTGTGTTCTCTATTGTTGCTCATTGGCCGAGATATGGAGGCTAGTAAACAAGATCTCGGTTCGTGTCTGACGAAAATGAGCGAGGCTGTTAGCAAACGCCAACTCTCTGAAAGCGCGAGACATAACCTCAAACTTGTGAGTGAAAGTAGAAGAAACGAGTGGAGAAAAGTTGAAGTTCTTCGTGGTCTGTACTGCGACTTCCCAAAGAGAGGTCCGTCAGTGATGGGTGAAGATCATAAAGAGGATGATGATGCATGGGCACTGGGGACCTTGTCACATATTGTAGTACCACGGCGTGTACTGAGAAACCAAATGCGCCAGGCTAAAGGCAGGTTCAACCAGACTTAACTGCAACAAGCCCACCTAGGCCCGTGTCCCAATTCTTCCGTTTGGTCCATATTACATCGCGAGAGGATAAAATAAGTGGATTTAAACTTTGAAAGCACGGTGGTAACTATATGTACTGCACGGTTTAACGGTACAAACACTTAAAACATTTTTGTGCACGAACTGTATTGCAGTAATAAAGGACTGGAAATGTGAATGACCGTATTAGAGGATGTGACGCTGTCGGTGTCAAGTTCCGGATGATGGCGATAGGATAAGTGGTGAATGATGAGTTGGAAAAGATTTGGAATTAAGTGGCCTTGATCATATCGAGCTACTGCACAAGCACTTGCCTTGAGGAAAAAAAGAAAATCGCGAAAAACCTCAGTGTAACAGGCAGTTCGGCCGAGGTTCAAACCGACCGGCACAGCGACCTGTTAGCTATTTGTGTGCTCCGTATAGTTCTCACAATAAACAGCGACTGTTTCCCTAAACAGCTTTAACCAGTTGGACTTTGTAGCGGAGACGTAATGTGTTTCCTGTGAGATACGAACTGAATCAATATGTAATATTTTGAAAGCTTAGGTTCGTTGTTCTTTAATTTCAGAATATTTGCAGCCTTAAGTGATATTTTATCATAACGATAGGGAACGGCACATCATCTGATCAACCTGATAATCTTCAGAGTGGAGATAACACCGCTGTGTTTGCTTGAACTGGCGAGTGCCTGTAAGCCGTATCTCACAGATAAATGTGTCCACGGAATTTGCGCAGAACGTGAAGTGTCGTCAGATCCATTGGCCCTTCTAAGCATATTTATTGTCACGTTTTAGGGGTTCCTATAGACGGGGTATGGATTGGCCACTTATCACTTGGAACTACAATTACAGCGCTATCACTGATCTCCACGCTTTATAGATTACTGCTGCAAACATTAAGACTTCTGCAGCCTGCAGTGTCTTCACTACCCGTTCCATGGTAACGGCTTGTAACAGTGTAGATTCTTCAGCTTCCCGCGCTCAGGTCCTTCCTGTCCAGCGAATAACCTGAAACTGAACTCTCTATAATTCGCCTCAGTCGGCCTGGGCGCCTCGTTATATCCTTGGGCCGGGCCCAACAGAAAACGCCGCCTTCAGTTTTTCTATTATTACGGGCGGTTGCCTAGACATAGCTAGGATATCGTTGACGTGTTTACCGGCTGTTACCAAGCAACGCCTGTTGTCTCATTGCTTGTTTCGAGGCCTTTGCCTAGCAACGGGTCTCTACGCCACAATATAAACACAGTCTGCGTGTCCATTTCGAAGATCGCTTTGTTACTGCCTTTTTGGGAGACAGCTTATTGTGAGAATCATACTTAACCTACACATATTCTCCTTTTGATAATGTTAAAGCAGGTGGTACATATGCTTTAAAATACGAAATCGTTAAATCTTTTTATAGGACGATAATGTAATGGGAGCTGTGGGGGCCATTATCTGTTGTTTCGTGAAACAAACAAAACCTCTCTATATCCTGGTGCTTTGTCGTACAAAGTCGGAGTCTTGTGGGCAGTTCTGATAACAACAACGAGATAGGAACACAAGAGGCTGTCCATAAGGGAAACAAATAACAATAGGGTTAAAATATCAAATAATTTTATTAAGTAGATATCAAGGTCGGGTGGGGGCGGGAGATTGGCTGCGTCTGTGCCCCGATCCTCAATGGGCTCACCACTGCTTTCATGCCGCCGAAAGTTCTGTGCAGATATTCACATACAAAGGAAACTTTATAAGCATGAGCTTCATCATTTACATTTGCATGACCCAGCCTCAGTTACCATAGCAACGAATTATCCAGCGTCAATACTTTTTAGGAAATAAGTTACGGAGCAGGTCAAGAACAAGTCCCAGTATATCGTCATTATTCCGTCAGTATATTCAGTATATCGTCAGTATTCCGTCAGTATGTTGTATATCGTGTCTATTCTGTGAGTACTAATAATATTTTGCTTTGGATATGTGCCGTGTAATGAATATAGCACATTAAGTAGACAGTTTACGATTGTATGTTTGTATGTGTTATTCTTGGGAGATGGCATTAAACGTCGGCCTCGACGTATCATTCGATAACACTTAAGACTGGAAAAGAATACGGGAGAAAGTAGTGGAACTTGGTAGTACGAAAGCTTATTGAAAAGTGGTGAGACTTCCTGCTGAACTCTCAAGTAATGTTACGTGTATATTGTATGTATATGTAGTAAACCCTTGCTAATCCGGACTAATTGGGGGGTCGTCAGGGTTAAGCGGTAATCCGGATTAATGAAGCAAAAGATAGCTCTAAAAGACAAAAACTAATTACAACACAAATAAATGGAGACTTCAGTGATAAAAATAGTGCTGATGGAAATAAATAAATAATAATAATAATAATACAATATCACTGCATCAATTTCTTCATCTCTCATTCATCCAGCTGAAGCCAATGTTGGATATTTTCTTGCGTGGTTTCAGTCTCTCCAGCTGCCCTCAGCACAGTCTGAAAGTCCTCTTGCTCTAATCCCTCTTGCTCCTAAATGTCACGTGTCTTTTTAATGTACTCAACTGTGAACAGAATTTTTCATATTTCCATCCGGATTAGCGAGGGCATGCTCAAAAATCTATTTGTAATCACATGATACACGTAATAACGTGAATTTTACAGCTCTGTGTTGCGAAGTGTTTGTGATTCTGGTCAAATAAAATAAACGTAATAGTTTCCTACAATTTAAATTGTCCATAACAGCCATGTAAGTGTTTGTGAAGGTTCAGGGTTTGCACTGGCGTGAGGGGGGTGGGTGGGGGTGAGGTGTAAACATGGAGGATTACCTGATCTCTCGAGCTAATTCTGGGGAAGCTGCCAGTTGGATAACTACTCAACAGAGTACCCGCCTCCTATATAAATCCCAGACTCATTGCCACGTTCACAATAACCCGCCGTTGTACCGTATATTGAATAAAATGAATGCAATTCATACCCACCACACTCCTTTAGGATCTATTTTAATAGTATTCTGCACTTTATACCTGTATTTTTTCAGAGTTGTTTTTCTTTTAATTTTTTGTATGGATTTCTCATTCCTCCTATGCGTGCTACATGACTCGAACAAGCCCATCATCCTTGATTTGATTACCGTAATAATTGATGAATATATATTATGAAGCTGCACGGTATGTAATTTTCTCCATTCTTCTGTTACTCCTTCCCTCTCTCTCTCTTTCTCTCTCTCTCTTTTCCCCCTCCCTTGGCACCACAGCCCCAGTGGGCCTAGGCCTACCTCCATGAACATCTCCGCTCACTTCGTTTTTCCTAGCTCTTCGGTTTCCAGGCGAGCGAAGACAGTACATGCCTTAGACCGCTCGGCTACCATGACCGGCCCTTCCCTCTTAGGTCCAAATATTGTGTACAACACCTTGTTCTCAAACACCCACGATCTGTGCTCTTTCTTAGATGTAAAATGTTGACTTTCAGACCCATACAAAATCAGTTGTAGCCTTCCCCCCAGAAAATTAACAGTTGTTTAAGTAGTATCCACATTTATCTTATGGCGCTTGGTTTTGTCAGCAAATGTTCAAATAGTAATACAAATCTGAAGTGAATAGAGTCTTAAAAACAATCAATGAATCCTAGGAGGAGGTAGGAATGCCCTTCTATTCAAATAGGCTCAAGGCTTGTTTACCACAGCAAGGAAATGAATGTTATCGCTCCGCTATTTATAAACATAGCGATAAGACTAAATGGAAGGCCCACAGAACGTAAGGACGAGTATTGCTTGTGTTGGTTCGATCCCGGGTCTGGTCGAGTGGGATTTGTGGTGGACAAAGTGGTGCTGGGGCAGGTTTTTCCCGCCAATCTTCATTCCACGAAATTCTCCATCATAATCACCCGGGGTAGGCTACAATAGGCCAATCTGTGGCCGCCGTGCCGGGTGAACCCAGTAATTACCTGCATCCTACAGTGTATGGAACACTCTTCTTTCAAGGTTAAATCCGTATGTAAACCACTATTGTGTCTGTCGTTTCGCCGTAGCGCATCGAACACTGATTACGTGTTGTGCGCACTTGAGAGTGGAATTTGAGGCCGTGCGGTTAGTGGCTCGCTTCCCACTGCGGCGGTCCAGGTACATGTGCGCACTTGAGAGTGGAGTTAGAGGCCGTGCGGTTAGTGGCTGGCTTCCCACTGCAGCGGCCCAGGTACATGTGCGCACTTGAGAGTGGAGTTAGAGGCCGTGCGGTTAGTGGCTGGCTTCCCACTGCAGCGGCCCAGGTACATGTGCGCACTTGAGAGTGGAGTTAGAGGCCGTGCGGTTAGTGGCTGGCTTCCCACTGCAGCGGCCCAGGTACATGTGCGCACTTGAGAGTGGAGTTAGAGGCCGTGCGGTTAGTGGCTGGCTTCCCACTGCAGCGGCCCAGGTACATGTGCGCACTTGAGAGTGGAGTTAGAGGCCGTGCGGTTAGTGGCTGGCTTCCCACTGCAGCGGCCCAGGTACATGTGCGCACTTGAGAGTGGAGTTAGAGGCCGTGCGGTTAGTGGCTGGCTTCCCACTGCAGCGGCCCAGGTACATGTGCGCACTTGAGAGTGGAGTTAGAGGCCGTGCGGTTAGTGGCTGGCTTCCCACTGCAGCGGCCCAGGTACATGTGCGCACTTGAGAGTGGAGTTAGAGGCCGTGCGGTTAGTGGCTGGCTTCCCACTGCAGCGGCCCAGGTACATGTGCGCACTTGAGAGTGGAGTTAGAGGCCGTGCGGTTAGTGGCTGGCTTCCCACTGCAGCGGCCCAGGTACATGTGCGCACTTGAGAGTGGAGTTAGAGGCCGTGCGGTTAGTGGCTGGCTTCCCACTGCAGCGGCCCAGGTACATGTGCGCACTTGAGAGTGGAGTTAGAGGCCGTGCGGTTAGTGGCTGGCTTCCCACTGCAGCGGCCCAGGTACATGTGCGCACTTGAGAGTGGAGTTAGAGGCCGTGCGGTTAGTGGCTGGCTTCCCACTGCAGCGGCCCAGGTACATGTGCGCACTTGAGAGTGGAGTTAGAGGCCGTGCGGTTAGTGGCTGGCTTCCCACTGCAGCGGCCCAGGTACATGTGCGCACTTGAGAGTGGAGTTAGAGGCCGTGCGGTTAGTGGCTGGCTTCCCACTGCAGCGGCCCAGGTACATGTGCGCACTTGAGAGTGGAGTTAGAGGCCGTGCGGTTAGTGGCTGGCTTCCCACTGCAGCGGCCCAGGTACATGTGCGCACTTGAGAGTGGAGTTAGAGGCCGTGCGGTTAGTGGCTGGCTTCCCACTGCAGCGGCCCAGGTACATGTGCGCACTTGAGAGTGGAGTTAGAGGCCGTGCGGTTAGTGGCTGGCTTCCCACTGCAGCGGCCCAGGTACATGTGCGCACTTGAGAGTGGAGTTAGAGGCCGTGCGGTTAGTGGCTGGCTTCCCACTGCAGCGGCCCAGGTACATGTGCGCACTTGAGAGTGGAGTTAGAGGCCGTGCGGTTAGTGGCTGGCTTCCCACTGCAGCGGCCCAGGTACATGTGCGCACTTGAGAGTGGAGTTAGAGGCCGTGCGGTTAGTGGCTGGCTTCCCACTGCAGCGGCCCAGGTACATGTGCGCACTTGAGAGTGGAGTTAGAGGCCGTGCGGTTAGTGGCTGGCTTCCCACTGCGGCGGCCCAGGTACGTGTTGTGCGCACTTGAGAGTGGAGTTAGAGGCCGTGATATTAGTGGCTGGCTTCCCACTGCAGCGGCCCAGGTACATGTGCGCGCTTGAGAGTGGAGTTAGAGGCCGTGCAATTAGTGGCTGGCTTCCCACTGCAGCGGCCCAGGTACATGTGCGCGCTTGAGAGTGGAGTTAGAGGCCGTGCAATTAGTGGCTGGCTTCCCACTGCAGCGGCCCAGGTACATGTGCGCGCTTGAGAGTGGAGTTAGAGGCCGTGCAATTAGTGGCTGGCTTCCCACTGCAGCGGCCCAGGTACATGTGCGCGCTTGAGAGTGGAGTTAGAGGCCGTGCAATTAGTGGCTGGCTTCCCACTGCAGCGGCCCAGGTACATGTGCGCGCTTGAGAGTGGAGTTAGAGGCCGTGCAATTAGTGGCTGGCTTCCCACTGCAGCGGCCCAGGTACATGTGCGCGCTTGAGAGTGGAGTTAGAGGCCGTGCAATTAGTGGCTGGCTTCCCACTGCAGCGGCCCAGGTACATGTGCGCGCTTGAGAGTGGAGTTAGAGGCCGTGCAATTAGTGGCTGGCTTCCCACTGCAGCGGCCCAGGTACATGTGCGCGCTTGAGAGTGGAGTTAGAGGCCGTGCAATTAGTGGCTGGCTTCCCACTGCAGCGGCCCAGGTACATGTGCGCGCTTGAGAGTGGAGTTAGAGGCCGTGCAATTAGTGGCTGGCTTCCCACTGCAGCGGCCCAGGTACATGTGCGCGCTTGAGAGTGGAGTTAGAGGCCGTGCAATTAGTGGCTGGCTTCCCACTGCAGCGGCCCAGGTACATGTGCGCGCTTGAGAGTGGAGTTAGAGGCCGTGCAATTAGTGGCTGGCTTCCCACTGCAGCGGCCCAGGTACATGTGCGCGCTTGAGAGTGGAGTTAGAGGCCGTGCAATTAGTGGCTGGCTTCCCACTGCAGCGGCCCAGGTACATGTGCGCGCTTGAGAGTGGAGTTAGAGGCCGTGCAATTAGTGGCTGGCTTCCCACTGCAGCGGCCCAGGTACATGTGCGCGCTTGAGAGTGGAGTTAGAGGCCGTGCAATTAGTGGCTGGCTTCCCACTGCGGCGGTAGAGTTACAAGACTGGGCCTCGTCATGTGGGATTTGTGGTAGATAAAGTGGAGTTGTGGCATGTTTTCTGTGAGTAGTTGTGTTTCCGCTGCCAATTTTCATTCCACTAACTGCTCCACAATCACCATCATCTATCATCTGGGTTTGGCACAATAGGCCAGTAGTGGCAGCAGAACTCAGTGAACTCAGCCTTACCCCCACAATAAGAATAGTACTGGAGTGGAAGCGGGGAGCAGAGGGAAAGCATATGGACTACACACTTGTCGGTACACTGCTCAAGGGAGAAATATTGTAACCGCAAAATATTCCCATTGAATTCTTATGAGTAGAGCCATCATTTTTATGTAATATCTTCATGCAAAATAAGTACATATTTATGCAACAAAGAACACTGAAATAAGTAGTAAAATATGTAACAACACAAAAATAATATTTAGTTTTGCAGCCAACCTATATTTACAATCTTCCGGTACAATCGTTGATTTTTTGATGCACAGTATACTGTTTGTAGCTTTTCCATATTTTGCGGGGCCATTGATGGTATTTTTATCCGATAGAATATGTTTATAGGCCGAAAAGCATGTTTCTACATGACAAAATGTCACTGGTGCGCATTTTAACAAAGGCATTTTCTCAGGAGCATTGTCCTTCTTCAGGGGGAACTACACCGTCTCCATTAAGTACCTGACAGACACTGGTAAATGTCGAAAATCCAGGGTTTCTTCTTAACATCGACTGCAACTTGGTG